TGTTTTTTACGATCTTCTGGACAAATGTTTGGTTTTGGTTTGGTATAATTTTCTGGTTACCATTTTTCTTAGACAAACATATTTATCCTGTTAAGTAAATGATGTTTAAAAACTTTCAGCTGTCCTTCCTCCCACCCTGCAATCACTGTTCCCCTCAGATGCGAGGGGATTTCATGCTTGTGCGTACACGCCTTGGGAGTGCAGACATGGAGAAATGGGTGGGAAAAAACAAGAGGTCTTGGAATGCCCCTGGCATTTCTCCAGAGGATTTCCATTCCCCTGCCCACTGTTACCTTCATTTCTCAACACAAAAAGCAGGAGAGCAGGGATCCGCTGATGTTTCACCTGGCTCTGTCTCACCACCAAACTCATGAACAGTGTCACTTGCCGATGAACTGTTTATTTGCTACTTTAGGTTTAAAATTAAAATAAAATACAAAGACTTAAGAGCTTTCTTGCAGATATTGCGTGAAAGGTCAGAAGTTCTCCAAACACAGGACACCTGAGGTGCTGTGCTTACCACAGAAGCAGCTTCTCAATTTGCAGTTATTTTACTGAATTATTTACTGATTCAATAGTACAGCTGGACAGCTCTTCGCACCCATGTGCTAGTGGTCCATCCTACTGCTAAAAAGCCAGAGATGCTGACTTTTATATGATCTGTGCCATTCAGCATAAACACGCCGATATCTGAAATTTTTCACTAAGAAACTCAACTCAAAATGGCAGTTTCTAGCTGCAGAGCTGCAATTAAATGATTATAGCACTGAACCCCCTAGGCGCATAAATCTATTCATCCTCAATTTCTATTTTAACATCCAGTGATAGAAATGTTCAGTCACCCAGTGGTATTAGCCCAGACTCCTGCACTGTAGGCATCGCTCAGTGCAGGATGGCCTTCGCAATTTAACCTAAAGGTTCACAGCAGGGCCTCTACTTAGTCTTTTGCTATTAAATTATATGCCAGTTAATCAACCTGCTTATGTGCTTTAAAAAAAATCTATGTTTTATAACTAAGATTTCTGGAGAAAAAGGTAAGAAAAAGAAAGAAAGAGATATTATGCGTAGACACTAATAAATTCCACAGGAACTTAAGGAAAAATTTCTTGATCGTGAGGATGACAGAGCCCTGGGGCAGGCTGCCAAAAGAGTTTGTGGAGTCTCCTTCTCTGGAGATCTTCAAAATCTGCTTGGACGCAGCCCTGTGTCACGTGCTCTAGGTGACCCTGTGTGTGCAGGAGGGTTGGACTAGATGACCTCTAGAGGCCCCTTCCAACCTTGATGATCCTATGATTCTAAATGAATAAATAAAGCCACTCTCACCATAGGCCTGGTACTTGAGTTTGACATCCCTAACTGACATTGATGCTTTCCACTAAACAGTCATCCCCATTTGTCCACATGTGCTTTTACTTCTGAAGAAAGCCAGTCAACACAGTGCCCAGGTCAGGCCTACAAAAGCAGCAGATTGTATCAACGAGCCAGACTGCAGGAGAATTTGGCCGTGACTTTTCCATGGCCCCAGAAATGCCCATCCTTTGTTTTTCTGCAGAAGGCTCCTTATTTCTCACAATTCTCTTCTCAGTGCTCTGGGAGGCGGCTGCACTGCCCTCCTGCAGCCACCTGCTTTAAAAGCAGTATCGGGTGCCTGCCTGGCAGCACAGCTAGAGAGGGCACCTGCTTCCTGCCGAGCTGGAACCAGCAAGGTTGCCCAGCAGAGCTCAGGGAAACACGCACTGATCTCTGGAACGAGCACTTGCCTGCCTAAAATTAAGAGAACAGTTTATCTTCATAAGCAAAACCAGCACCTACTGCAAAAAAATGGCTTTCCACAGCTACTTTAGCTTATCTTAGCTACTTTACCAGTGAAATATCAGGAACACAGCAGGAAAATGAAAAGCGCAAAGACAACTAGTTTCTTGACTAATTCAGGATTTTTCTCTTTTGAAAAAATAATAAATCAGCACCCTTTGGGGCTGGACAAGGTAAGAATATGAGACAAAGGCAGACTGGGATGCAAGCAGTGTTGTAAATCACTTGCTGAAAAAGGCAGTGGTAACTGGAAGAAGAAAAAAAAAGCAGGAGGGGGGAACATTAAAATTGCTTTGACAAAAGATATAGCTCATGCTTTTTTCTTTTTTCAGCTACACTAATAAAGTTGTGCTGATAACAGCAGAAGATATGAGTTTTATTTTAGATGGAAACATGATTCTAGCAGATAAATTTATGGCCTGGAAGTTCCTTTATTTACTAAGTCTTCCTTTCTGACATAAATCTCACTTCTATACAGAACAATATTTTGGAAAAAAAAGAAACAAACAAAAAAATAAACAATACCTACTGCTTTACAGAACTGTTATTTCTTTATATCCAAAACAGCAAATTTACAGGATGGTTTTATGTATATTCTGTATAAAATTGGATTTCTGAATCCCCCTAACATGACCACTAAATGGATTTTGTCTTAGCAGGGTTTTGATTTAAACTTACTCAAAAATGAAAGTGAGTTGTTCTACAAGCAGCAATACTAATGACACTTCACGATGATACTAATGATATGATACTAATGATACTGATATGATACTTCATATATACTTATATGATACTACATGATGAGAATGATATGATACTAATGATACTGATGATACTAATGATACTTCATTTCTTATGAAGCCGTATCCTGTATCATAACTCTGCAACATCCCCATCTTTCTACACGATCAGCAAACAAAATACCCTTTCTTTTCCGAGGTCTCTCAGAACGACATGATCTCGGCTCCGTGTCAAGCCCAGCTGCCCACGGGCAACACTTCTTCCCCGCCACGTGGGTATCACACATGTTTGTGCCCACGGCTGCCAGGCTGCAGCACCTTGCAGTACCCGCTGGAACTGCTGCTCCCTTCTTTCCTCCCACAGGCTCCATAGGCACACAGGGAATTACTTTTCTCTGGCACCTTGTCATCCCCTGTAACCAGAACGGGCTCATTCCCATCTCAGATCCTAATTCCTAATTTATAACCTGCAAGCAGAGAACATGAAATTAAGTGTCATTTTGTTTAATCTTGGTTTGCTTTCAACATTCAGAGTTCAATAGTCTTCATTCATATTTTCCAAAATTTAGCTAGTTTACACTACCTACTAGCCTTTAAATGTGTTGCTTTAGTTCTTTAGCTAAACTCATCACTGACTTTGTTAACTAAGGATTTATACTACATATACGGGCATTTATACAAGCAAAAGTGTATCTGAAAATAATTTATTCAATTACCAATCTTTTTTTTTTTAAATGGATGAAAGTGGAACGATGATAACATTTCCTAATTTTTTATTCATGATGTTTAGCAGACTCTATTGAATGGAACTAGACTAAATATAACTACGTGCAACATTTATGAAGCTGAACAGACTATTTTTTATTAATCAAAAACACTTCACGTTTTAAATTGATGTATTAAACAAGAATTAAGTTTTATCTTCATTCAGAACTCATTTATTGTTGCTTTTGCCCAGCAGTATCTTAAACAGAGGATTTTCTTTCCCTTTGGTTGCTTTGCTCTCTCATTATGGAGGAGAAGAACGCCTCCCTACGCCTCGATCAGCCCGAGCCACGGCGCTTCTCATCTGCTGCCAGTCAGCTGATACGCTGAAACGAGCAGTGTCTTCACATCGACAGAAGGAGCCATTATTATCCAGCACACTCAGGTTCATGTGTTCATTTCCTGCCCTACCACTTTCACCATGTCAATGGTTTGTCTTTGATTAAAAATTGCTACTTACCTACTCAAAATAAATAGTGACTTCATTTTAGCCCTTAAAAAGGCTTGTCATATTTTTTTCATGGTAAAATTAAATAGATTAATTACAAAAGGAAAAAAAGAATTTAGAAGAGAATTTATTTTAATTCCATCTTTACAGCAATCCTTTCACATATGTGAAAGGATTCTTTCAACTTTCATATTTAACTACTCTTAAACCACTAGCTTCTGAATTTCATCAAAATTGTCGCACAGATCACTTAGGCTTCATAAGGCTGCAAAGAGCAATCTTCTGGGTTGCACTTTGGCTAATTTTAGTAACACTTAAAGCTAAAGAGCAAATAGTCCCTGAAATAGTGGAATATTGGGAAGGATTAATGCAGTTTTTCACAGGAGCTTTAGCTAGTCTCAAAAAGGCAGTGATGTGATGTTGTTGCTTTGTCTCCAAGTGCCCTGAAAAGTGAGTTCCTCTGGACTTGCCTCCTTGGGCTCTAAGAGCCACCCCCTGGCTCAGCAGCCTCTAAGCTCAGCACTTACCCATTCCTCGGATCAGGGCCTGGTAGCCATCCCATGTTGAGGTACCCAAGGAGGACAGTAAACCCAAGAAGGACAAGAAAGCAGAGGGCAACATTCATGGAGAGGTGTTAACGCTTGGAGGGGATGTGAGGGTGCACATTATGGGCTGCAGCGTATAAGTGAACTCCCACCTCCACCATTTATCAGTTGGAGCGGCCACAGCAGCAACATACAAGCTAATTCAGCAGAGCAATGCCAAATGTCACCACATCTTTGGGTACCCAAGTGCACATCCTTTCCAAGACAATGGTTAATATAGCAGAGACTTTTTTTCAATCTATTTTTCATTTTTCATTCTATTCATGTAGAATATGCAGTAAAATGTACCTGGATGCTGCTCCAGCTCCAAGTCAATCATCCTGACTTCTCAATTAACAAGTTACTACTTGGATAACAAAACCCAAAAGATATTAGGCAATATTGCTTTATTCACAACGAATATTTACAAAGATCTGCTTTAGTCTCACACATTTATTTTATTCTTACAAATCTTTTAAAGATTTGAATCCTGGTTGCAAGCAGTGTTCTGTTACCAGTGCTGCTCCAGTCAAGGGCAAAGCCTGCAAACGTTTCTAGTTCTCCTGAACTTTTCTTTCTGCCTTCAAAATGAAATAGTCCGCTGCTGGTCTGAGTGGGAATATTTGACACAAAGCTTTATTCCATACTCACATGTTTACTAGCAGGTTGACTCTGAGGTAAAGATCCAGGGGCCAGCACCGGAGAGCTTGCAGGACTACAGAGTTCTGGGAACGGGTTTGGTATGGCTGGCAAAGATGACGTTCTGAACTGCTGTTCTTCCTCCTGCAGACGTCTACAAACACAGAAGAACCAAGCATCAAGAGTAGCCATGCAGCACCATCCCGCTTGCATCTCCTGCCCCACCATGTGAGATGGTCATAATAAAGAAATCAAAAGCACTTTTTTGCTAAGCAACTACCTTAACGTTACAGTAACTGCAAGCATAATTGAGTTAACTACTGAGGTAATGATGCACAAGAACAGAAATACCAACCTATACTCTCTTTTATGTAAGGACCAGATTACAAGCCTATGCTCTGACTGTCAGAAAGCCAGTTAAGCTCCTGCAAACTGTTATAAAAGAAAGACCCAAGTGCAGTATTTTAGTGCCAAATTCTACATGCATCTGCAACCAAATGCGTATCCGAGGGGGATCATTAAGCCAACACTGAAAGCAACGGAGTCACCATTACAAGACGCCATCTCTAAGCAACTCAGCACTCCCTGCAGAGACGGGAAGGCAAAGACGCTGCTGGCGCAGTGACATTTACACCCTTCCACAAAACACTCCTTGCTGCGTCATCCTTTAGACAAGTTTTGTGCGCGTTTCCTTACACAGCTCTCAGGACTCCAAAGCCCCAGCTTTGTAAAACACCTGCACTGCCCTCACCAACAGAAGCAAATTAAAGCCTACCAGGTACCATGGAAAAGATACAGAAATACAACAGAAACGTGAGAGCTGCTCTTGGATACATGGAGATTGCTTTGCATTCTCCCACGGCTGCTGCACCAGCCTTGGGGATACTCTGCTCACACCGGGCTCATCCACAAATCCTTTGCAGAAGCCGCCATCTAGTGGCCACTAGGAGTCTCCAAGGCAGCCAACTCCGGGATTTGGAATAGGGGAAACATTAGAAGAAAAGCTAAACCTAGTTTGGTCTGATTTTCTTGCCATGTTCTTCATCCAGCTGCCTTCAGTCAACAGCCTCTTCACCGTCCACAGCGTGAAATTCGCTCCATAGATAATTCTCTTCCACAGTTTAGTTCCCGTGTTCCTGGGATGAGCTCTTATCTTTTTTGTCATTAATTTGCTGGTTCCAATCACAACCATGGACTGTGCAAACGACTGAGACTGACCTGCCGGAGTTTTCTTGCAGGTGATTCTGTACAACATAAGGTAAAACGTGGCACCATTTCCCTTCAGCACAGCAGATTTAAGGTGTCAGCAGTTATGAATAAACAGCCATCCTGATTGCAAGGTTTTGACTAGGTGCTTGAGCCGAGGCCCATCATAATAATTAGAAACCAAGATTCAGTACAAGCAAAAAGACACATTTTTTTTTTAAATAAAATTTCACTACAGGGCATTCCACTCTGCCTGTAGGATATCACCTGCCACACCACTGAGATGAAGAGAAACAGCTATTTCCCTGTGCCTGAGAGGGGTCTTAAATAACCCAGAGTAGAAGTTTTACTATTACTCTCCTTAATAATAAATACATGATGTTCCAGGAAGTAGAGAGTTCTGAAAGTCAAAGTGTTTCTCCTCAAAAGTTGCAACATTTTGAAATGCCAGAAAAAGTTCAGAAAGAGTGTGTTCACTGAAACTTTTGCAAATGTGTAGAGTTACAGCTCTCCAGAGAGAGCACTTTCTAAGACAGTCCCTACAAGCTTAAATTTTGAAATTCTGAAAAAGTCTTTAGCTGACTCGGGTGTATGCAGTTACTGCATACTATCCATTCTTGCAGAAAAACTGTGTTTCTGAAGAATAACGCTCCTATAGCAAATATAACTGCGTAAAGAACCAAGAGGATCTCTTAGACACCTCTTTCTCTCTGATTACTGAGTCCTGCTTCCTTTGGAGAAGCCACCATTAAGTGAAAACTACAACAATATGTGACAAGCAATTTACCTACTCATATTGACAAGAGCTCCTTTCTTCATGCCACTTTAAAAGATTTTAAGAACCTGACCATTACATACAGAATCTCCAGTCACCGCCAAGAGTGTTTCACCTGAATCTTTAACTCAAGTCCCCCATCCCCACACCAGCGAGAAACTTGGCATGCTCTTTCTTCTTGTAATGTGAAGGAACTTGAAAGTGCTCCAGGAAGAGCGGTTAAGGAACTATGATGCTCCTTTGTTTATTTATTTGTCTTCGACCTTTCCAAAAGCTTCCATCAAGGCAGGTGTTTTTGTGCCTCCAGACTAACTGATTACAACCTCAACCATCCACATGATTCACTATGTTTTATAAAACGAGGAAGCAGTTAATGGGCACCATGCCCGATAGCAGAGTTTTTCAAGGTTTGGAAATAAATCCAAACATGGATGTCATTTCCACTAAATCACATCAGTGGTAACGCTTCTACGCGTGTCTGCTACTACCGAAATATCAAACATTGTTGTTAAAAAAAACATAAAAAATGCAATCATGTTTGGATTTTGCAAAACATAAGGAAATATTACGTACTTCATCCATGTGGAAAACTCTTTTGCTCTGCATAAGTCCATTGCAACACTATTAGGTTCCCACCAAAGCTGATCTAAAGACTTTAAAATCATTTTTTTTTTTTTTTTTTTAATGCTAGCTCAAGAAAATGTTAACAAAATGGAAGAAAGTCCCTTTTTCCTACCTGACTGCCATAATGCGCACTGGCTGTGACCGCTGCACCTTCTGCCTTGGGGATGCGGGCTGCAAGGAGCTGGGTCCTGAGGCTGGCAACTGACTGCGACTGAGCTGGCCATTCTGAAGGAGCGGAGTGGTTTCTGACTGCATGCTGCACGTGGAGTACAAGCTCTCAAATGAGGAATTCATGTCATTTACCAAAGCTTCTAGGTCCACATCATCATCTGAAAGACAAAATGAAGGCAGCATAGCATATGTGAAGTCACAGATAAAGGCAGTCTGCAAAGACTCAAGACTAAGCTTTTGGAAAATGATCACATATTCTACAGTTATACTTCTACAGCGCAGATTTTTATTACAAAAACATTTTACTCTATAACAGAAAAATGCAAATAATAAATTTTAGGACAACCAATTAATATCATGCCAGTGACAGTGGAGTTTATGTTGTTTTCCTTGGTGAAAAAACAAATCAAATACTTTTACTATAGTATTTACTAATCCAAAACGAGCGTTTTGTCTATGTTTTTAAAAATACAAATGCGAACGTGAAACACAACCTCACTTACTATTAAACTGACACACATTTCAAATGTATATCACTTACTAATATATCAATCCAGCTTTCAATGTGTCAAGTTGAGACTGTCAAACAGTACGATAAACACTGGGTGCAAGATCCAGTAATTCAGAGACAGGAGGGGAAAAAAAAAAAGATACTGTTGCATAACTCAGTAGGTGGAATAAAAAAGCACATCTGTTGTACAAGCTGGAAGTCTATCATTACAGGTTTTTTAAAATCCCTTGTTCACATTTTTGCATATTTTTGAGACAAACTATCTTGAAGGGCAACGCAAGCTTCCAGCTGTCGTAACAAGGATTTTATAACAACTTTCTGGTGCTCGTACTTTCAAGGCAATAAAGTGACTCCCTGCTTAGACCTAAACTAAACCAACCAGAGATGCAGTGCGGGTGGCTGGAGAAACATCAGTCCCCAAAACGTGTACTCACCCTTCAACACAGGCCGTCTTACCTACAATGAACACCTAGCTCTCGTTAATTTGCAATTCCTTTGAAATCACCACTCCATAATTCCTGATTCCTCTTCCAAAGCATGGCAGTTGCTGCCTAGCCACAAGCCATGTCACTCTGCACCCGAAGCTCAGCACCCTAACAAGCACAGGCAGGGAGATCTGCTCCTGCTTATTCCACGCTAACGGGCTGAACGAGCACTTTAGATCAAAGACGCCTTTGGGTACGCCAAAATTTGCCCACTTTTCCCTGTTATTTCAAAGGGCTTCAAATAAGACATCATTGCTCCCTACAAACCTTGTGTGTGTCGAAACTACTCGTATGTCTAAGAGCTACTTAATGATGGAAGATCCTATGTTCCCTGCTACAAGTCAGGAGGTCCATTAATAAAGTGTAAGTCTGAACACACTTCCAGAGAAAGTGTGTTTCTGGTATTCCTAGGTCTAGAGAACAGAAAGAAAAGCAAAGCAAAGCAAAGCAAAGTAAAGCAAAGCAAAGAAAAAAAAAAGCGCAGACTCTCATTAGGCTGTGCTATTTTCTCTGTGTTTGCTGGTCCATGCATTTTTCAACAACCTGGACCTTGCTCTTCTGGGACAAAGTCTATGGTAATTTTCCTGCTATTTTTAGAGATCTTGGAGCAGAGTTGCAATTTAAGTTTCATTCCATTCTCCAGATTCTTATCCAGTTTGGGGAACATATATCCATAACCAAAACATGTCTTGAGCAATCACATGGGAACCACAAGAGTAGGAGTACAAAGAAGGAGAGGCTGAATTACAGGGCTTCTGAACTTTATCATTCATCTAAAGTACCAGAGGAGCACGTTGGAGGGTGTCAGTAGCATTAAGAGAGGAACTTGATGGCTGCCAAGTGAAAACTTGGGTGTTGGATGAAGGACGCATAAAAGACAGACCTTGGCCACAGTGTAAGGCAGTAAATTATAGCAAGTAACAACTGTTTAGCAGCATCAAAAGCAGAAGGGGAAGAAGGTAAAGGTGTATGATTTGTAGAAGTCAGCATGGCTTTGTCCCTGAGGGTGCTAATTTATTAAATTACAATCATCTGGAAGCTTAATGATCTTACACATTGATAGCTTTGTGTAACATAGGAGGAATGATTAAGAGTCCGCTCAATCTATCCCTGAAAAATCAAATAGGCACAGAGGTGCAATATGAAATTTAATATGCACAAAATGAGTCCTTCATGCAAAATCCTAAGGAAACCAAGTACACAGTTTGAGCCATTGAATTTCCATTAGCAAGCTTTTAAGCATATCAATTACACAGAGCTTCAGCCTTCACTGGGGTCGGCGCTGATAAGCTGCACACAGTGTAGATAGCAAACTGCACTGAAGCTCACAACGTGTTTTTGCTCCTCCATCTGGCCGTTCCCCTTCTCCACATGTGCAGCATTGCTACACGTGGCCCTGATTTTCTATGAAACTTTTACAGGATCCCATATCCCTAAGCTTTTTGAAGATAAAGCACACAATCTCAAACTTCATACAGGTTCATCTCTATGCCATGGCATTTACTACCAAATAGCTTTACATTTTGGAGATATTTTAGTATGTTGCAATAGAAAATCACACGACCAGAGCCTACCCTGGAAATGCCAGCAGATGTCTCAGCCTGCCAAGTAATATAGCATTACTTCTGACAGCTCTCTACAGAGTTTAAATAAATAAAAATCAAATAGGCCATCCATGGAATTTCGGATACATTTCAACCATGTGCAGTTACTTGATTCAAAGGAAAGTTTCAGACACAACACAACCCTTTAAAGTGTTTTTTTTTCTACCAACCAGCACAATCCAGTCTTCACCAAGATGATCCTCCATGGAAAAAAAAAAAAAAACTGTGAATTGGAGTAGATTTTGAGCAGGCTAGCTAGTTCACAGCGAAATTTGCCGTGAGATCTGAGCCAGAATGATGTCATGCTGGTGCTCGAAGCACCAGCCCACATGAATTTTGCAGCTGATCAGAGAAAGCTTCCTCTGTGGGCAAGAGGCCCTGCAGGTAACCAAGGAACAGCCCTCCCCGGCTTTCCTGCAGCGGCATGTTGCAGGGATGCTAAAGACTCTTTTCTTTAATCTGCATGCAATTCTGCAGTAAGATCAAGACATATGACAGTGAATATTTGAGGTCTCTTTTTTCTCCTGAATCCAACTGCACAGAGGCCAGCTTCTATTCCATAAACACACAAGCCGCATTTTGTTTTTGGAAGTTGTTTTCAGAAGAAGGCATTAGGAAAGCCTCGCTCTAACACATGTTCATTTTCTTTTCTTTTTTCTTTTCTTGAGTGGTTAAGTTTTTGTTGGTGGAGAGGGTACTGGTAGTTCTGTATTTTAATACCAAAGGAAAACACTTGCTATGGCAGTGAGTAATGCTCTCTGGCGTGCCTTTTTCTTTCCCAAACGAGAACCAAAGTGCACTGGCAGCCGTTTGAACTTCATTTTGCTGCTTTGCCCACAATCTGTTAAACTTTGGCTTTGTTCACTTACACAGTTCTCCTGGATGTTGCAAGCAGTATTTTTTGGTAAAGTTAAAAAGAACCTCATACATCATGATTTCAGCTATGAGAAAAAATGTCAAAGTTCTACTCAAGGCAAGGAAGAAGGGAAAACTTTAGTTATTAAATTGCTATTGGTTAGGAAGCTAAGGTGTCATGTTCCACCAAAATAAAAGCACTTCATTTGAATACCATTTATATGTTTTTGAGCATACCAGAAGAGGGGATGATAACAAGTCAACAAGGCCTGTGTAAACTAATCTGTGCTTAACCAAAGCCCTCCAGGTCCTTTTTGTCCTTCTGCCTCTTCCCTTTCCCCTAAATCCCACTTTATTTACTTATTTTGGGTCATTGTTGGCCTCGATGTGTCACCTCAGCTCACAGGAATGAGTGGGATCCCACTTATTCTAAAACAGCATAATCCCAAAATGAGTTCTGCTCTGTTTCATCCTGTGTCAAGCTCCTGAATCAAGTAGGTAATTCCATGGCTGTCAAGGGACTCGTTGCAGTGCAGAACTTCTGTTTACTAAGAAAAGGCTGAACGTGGACAGAATCCTGGCTTTGTTTTAAAGACCAGGTTACATTTTCTTTCTCTAAATGGCAGCCCAGCAAACACCCTTCCTTTTTACATATGGTCTGCAGTTCATAGGGAATAATATGGAAAAATCACCATAGGACTAAAAGTAAGTAAGCTGTGATTTAAGTGACTTCTTCCAAACTGAGTACATACCTCCATAAAGAATCTCCTTCTTGCTTGGTCATTTTGGCATTTAAGCTTTGACATTACACCTTATTCTACTAGTTCACAGAAAGCAGTTGCAAGGGTTACTAGGGTCTCAGGAGAGCACCTACACAAAGGCCATGCTACTTTTCTGTCTCTATGTGCAAGTGCAATGCAATAGGAAACCCAACTGAGTGAAGAGCAGCAAGGGTTTGGTGCTACAACTAAGCAGCTGTTGACCAGTAGCTGACACACTGAGTCTAGTAAGCAGCTCTCCAAAATTAGGCTCCCTGCGGCACACTAGCAAACCACTCCACCAGATGAACCAAAGCAGCTAGGATACAACTAATGTAAGATTTCACTCAAGTTTGGCCAAATCAAGTGTGATACTGAAGTGCTGAAAAGGCCCTCAGAGGCACATTCATCAACACACAAGGCCACCGATGGAAGCAATGAGAGAAGAGGACACACTCTGTCACCTGTGGTGAAACACTGCGCTCTCGGTAATGCTGGGGAAATATATTCATATGCAATAGGCAGAATGACTTCACCAGGACTTAGGAAAAACTGAAGTGCAGACCACCTAGGCATCTAAAATAATTGCAGTATCCAGCGCAACAGCCCGTTTGAGATCTCCTGAACTTGCACATGAATTATTCTGATTCATCCTGGTGATCTCATCATGTTTTGCAAGCCTTTTGGTATCACAGAAATCTCATGTTTCATGATCAAAAGTAACCACCCAGGTAAGGATTACCACAGCAATTACCATATACAAACTCATGTTCTTTCACAAGATTGCCCCTTTTGTTTATGCAGATCATTTGCAAAAGAAAGGCACAGTAGGACTAACCGCATGTCCTTCCGCTGCCATGTCCAAATGTTGTTTCGTAATTATTTAGAGATTTCATTTTATTTTAAGAAATACTATCCCCTAAAACTTTTTGAAAATATGTTACA